CCTTTCATTATCCTCTTTAAAATTTAATTCCTCTTCTCTTCATTTAATTGATCTATCTTCCAATAATTTCATGTCATCTGCAATATTCCATTGGATCTCAAATGTTAGCTCCAACCTTGTTAAGCTAGATCTTGGATCCAACATCTTGGAGGGTCCGATACCACATGAATTTGGTAGCGTCATGGATTCTCTTGTGAATCTAGACCTTAGTTTTAATCATGTAAAGGGTGGGCTTAAATCTTTATGGAATATATGTACCTTATGTTCATTACACCTAGACTTTAACAATTTGAGTGAAGACCTTTCGACAATCCTTCAAGCTCTTTCTGGATGTGCTAGATATTCTTTGCAAGACTTGAACCTAAATAGAAACCAAATCAGTGGTATACTAGTTAACCTTTCCACATTCCCATCTTTAGAGACATTTGACATTGCAAGGAATTTGCTAAATGGGTCAATACCTAAAGATCTTCAATTTCCCTCTTCATTAGAGTCTTTGGATATTCATTCCAACTCTTTGAAAGGTGCTTTCACTGAATATCATTTTGCTAATATGCCTAACTTAAAGGATTTGGTCCTATCTTTCAATGCATTGGCTTTGGACTTTAGCCATAATTGGGTTCCACCATTTCAATTGCAAGCTATATACATGTGAGATCTTTTAAGTTGGGTCCTCATTTTCCACAATGGTTGCAAACTCAAAGAAGTCTCATTGAACTCGATATTTCTAATGCTGGAATTTTAGCTCCTATTCCAGAGTGGTTTTGGACATTGTTGACACCAAATCTATATTACTTGAATATTTCATGCAATAATTTTACTGGTATAATACCAAATGTTCCCTTGAAATTTATTACTAGTGCTTTGATATTTGTGGCCTCCAATCATTTTAAGGGTGAAATTCCACAATTTCTACATAAAGCAAGTGTCCTTGTTGCATCGAATAATAATTTTTCAGATGTTCACCATTTTTTATGTTCAACAATGGCAACTGAGATGGAGGTGTTGGATCTGTCTAATAATAAACTATTTGGAGAGCTTCCTAATTGTTGGGGTCAGTTCAAATCATTAATCATTTTGGACTGAAGTGATAACAAATTTTCAGGAGAACTTCCTTCTTCTATCAGTTCTTTAGAGAGCCTTGAAAGTCTGATATTGAGAAACAATAAGTTTACTGGACAGTTGCCTATTTCCTTGGGGAGTTGCTCATATTTAGCACTTCTAGATGCTCATAATTGATTATATTGGATTAGCCCATGTTTTTTTAAAATTTAACTAACTAACATGATAATTTATGAAGATATAAAGAATTAAATTGATAAAAATTAAATTTGAGGGATCAAATCATAAGACAAATTTAAGGGTTTAAAAGTTCCATCATCCTTTTAGCATGCGTTTGGGTGGCTCACGTTTCACATCCCAAATATGGCTTTTAACTTTTGAAATGTAGAATGTCATTTGAAATGTTTTTTTTAGATGAAATGTGCTTTAGAAAAGGACTTTTAAATAGGTCTGAAATGGGAAAAACGAGAAGCTCCTTTTGGTAGCTTTTCAAACGCAAATCTGGCATGGTGATTGTACCTAATATTATAAATGACCATGATACCCTCATATCTTTTCTTTTTCTCGTGCAATCGAAGCTGGCCTCTCATTCTACTGCTTCTCATCACTGTCATCCGTCACTCCTCTGTCGCTTGTCCATCGCTCCTTCGTCACTCCACCATCTTTCCTCCATCGCTCATAAAAACACGAGCAACATGGTGAAGACATGGTCAACGATTACAGGTACAAGGTGGCTCGCCACCGTACAGGGCCCTGTGACTTTGTTGGTCAAGTTCACTGAGCTGGAGGGTTCACGGGAAGGATAGTATTGGCGCACTAAATTTTGGAAGATATCAGGGATGCAAGGGAAAGACTGACTCAGCAAGTTGAGATAAGAAAAAACCTAGGGCTCACCAGAGGGGAAGTTGGCGTAGGTGACGGAAGAGGGTCAAACAATTTGTCATGGCAAGAGTTAAAGCAATTGAGGCCAATATGGGATGACCACTTTTTTCTAATAAAATGAATTATTTTCTTATTTTCAATACTCCCAATAATTAACTATACAATGATTTAACCATTCATTTTTATAATTGTTTTAAATTGTATTTTGATTTTATGTGTTTAATTTTAAACAATATAAATTTTTAACAATTGTATTATCTATAAAAACAAGAATAAATCCATTTTGTAAACATTTCTAATATATTATATTTGTATAATAAAAATTATAATTATCATAAATCAATATCCTTTTTTGTCATTGCATATTAAAAAGCACATTTTAAAAACACAAATTTTTATAAATTCAAATAACTTTTAGTTTGCCAAACTGATTTTTCAAAAAATGTATTTAAATATAAATTTCATTACAACAACTGATTTTTATTAAATTGACTTTTGTCAAATGAACTTTCATCAAACTGACTTTTAATAAACTGAAAACCAAACACATACTTAATGTTTATCTATATATGTTTTTTAAAAAATACAATTACTATTTCCCCCCCTTTCATTTTGCAGGAGAAACTAGGGTGAAGACCTCAAAGATTAAGGTGGGATGGAATACATGACGTGCTAGATATATGACATGAACCGCACAATAAAGCTTGCATGTTGCTGAGCTTTGAAATTCTATATATGTCCTGTTCTTTGCTATTTCTTTCATTGTGATATTGCAATCATTGTGTGTGTGTGTGTGTTTGTTTTGCTGTTTTGAGTATGTTCTCAAGAAGCAACTTTTTTCTTCTCACAAATAGTTGCATCAGAATAAATGCCAACCATTTTGTTCCTTGAAACAAACAAACAAACCCTATTTGCATATAGGTTGATCCCTCCCTCCCTCCCTCTGTGTGTGTGTTTGTGTGTGTGTGAAAGATGTTCTTAATTTTAATTTTACGATTTTGTAGAACATTAGAATGATATCATTATATCAATTTATATAACAAAACATATAACACGAATTGGACTATTTATAAATCATAGACAATGGAGATCATTTCTTAATGTTGGATTACACCCCTGATGAATTGGACAAAATGAGAAGAGGCCCGAATTGGGATTAAATAATTAAACAACTCACCTCTAGATATGGTTAATTTGCCACGTAAGCAGCAACCTAGTTCGTAATAGAATGGTTTGAGCATCTCCATGGACTTTTCCCCTTGTAATCAAATAATTAATTACCACCTGTGATCTCCTCATAATGTAGGGTGCTGCCTTAGTGATGGAAAAATTTGGCCGTGCTGGGACTTTTACTTTTCTCGTAACACAAACAAGTTATTGCCATCTAATGAGAAAACCACCTAATGGACCTCTACTAATAACTGTCGAGTTGGCTAGTGAGCCGGTCACCTGATTAATCTGATTGATTAACCAAACCAGTCACTTTGTGGCCTAATTTTAGCCTAGTCAACCTAGCTTCAACTCAAGAAAACCTAATCAACTTATCTTGTTTAATGGTTTGACCTGGATTATTATTATTATTATTTTTTGTGCACCTTTCTTTTTTAATATTGAACTCTAAATGTAATTTAAATCCCTTAATTAATATTTTTAATGTTATTGTATTTTATTATTGTAAAAAACTTATAATTAATATTTGTATAGGACATGTATAAGATTTTATGGATGGTTTTTTTCATTTACTTAAGAATTAAAGAATTTTTTTTATTTTTTTTGCAGCAATTAAAGACTTTTTTATTTACATATTACTATTTTTCTTAGGCAAATATGAAATTTTATATATTTAAATTAAATTTTATTATTTTGATTATGAACGATCTGATTCAAGGTTAACGCTCTTGATTGGACTACTAACTCTTAAATTATCACTTCAATCAATTTTATGATTGATTTAGTTTTTAATACTTCGGATAAGTATTGCATGCTCATCATTGATCATCTTATAAATTAGAATGAAAATAATAATTTTTCATAAAATTGGGAGCAAAAGTGAAACACTGTACATTGCGTTGCCTTGTTTACAGGGACATGACTTTGACTAATAAGTTTACGTTAGAACAAGCATAAAAAATTAAAATATACAGTCATATTTTTTTTTTTTTACATTGCAAGATAATTTGATAAAACCATAAAATAAAATAAAAAATTTTTTAAAATGTTAGCAAATTTGTGATAATAATTCGATTCTAGGAGAAATTTGCCATAAGTTTAATTAAAATAGTTTTACATATATTTGAAATTTTATTATAGAATAATTATATTATAGTGATATTAAAATCAAAATAAACTACTATATTTGGAATGGAAATATTCCAAGTCAGCTCAGAAATTTCTCACGATTGCAATATCTTGATCTCTCAAAAAATTATGCTAGAGGAAAAATACCTCATCAACCTAAGAATCTCCCATGCTTGCAACATCTTGATCTCTCATCCAATCAACTTGTAGGGGTGATACCTTACCAACTTAAAAGTCTCTCACAATTGTAACATCTTGACCTCTCATGGAATATTCTTATAGGAGAAATACCTTGTCAATTTGGCAACCTTTCAAACTTAGAAAAGCTTGTTCTCAAGTATAGTGGTTCTCTAAAAACTAACCAAAAGAATGGTGGCAGAGGTGAGTAGCTCTCTAGTCTCACAAGTTTGACCCATCTTTAGTTAAAAAACATAACCAAGCTTAAATATTCTTACAAGTGAGTCTAAAAATAAATGGAGGGATACCGAGCTTAAAAGAATTGATGCTACCTGACAATGCTCTTTTATGTCAGTATATAGTTAATGGCTTATTAAGTTGATAATAAATATTAAGAACTCAAAAAATAAAATAGGTTATTTAATCGAACACTCGTGGTCTTATCGATTATTGCACACATCGATAATAAATTTAAAACCCAATCACACTGTACTGAGAAAATTAATCAAAAAAATCACTCGATTGGAAATTGATGGGTCCATGTGATGACAACGGGGAAAAAAGACTATGAACCCGCTAGCTCTATAACATTAGGCTAGCTAGAAGGTCCCACCTAATAAAATATATATTCATATTCTACTGTTCAACTAAGCCTAGAAATTACAAAAACGGAAGAGATATCAATCCAAGCTAAGTGGCAATGACAAACAGCCAGGCTTCATAATGTAGGCTTCATAATCAAGTCAGCAAATTCATTCTCAGCATAAAATGCTGCCACTATTGGATTCCCACCATAAGTTCGTCCGCTCAACTGAGCTCGTGCTATTGTTGCACCATCCACGTCAGCATACTCCAAAAACACCTACATGTACATATATAAATATATAGGCTGCGTTAATAATTTGCAGGCAATACGAAAAAGAAGGAAAAACCAAAACACCAATAATCAAACTCTATTAATATCTTGGGGTTTCTACATTTGCCAACCAGCAAGGCACATCTTATAGTGCTTGTTTGGTTTCACATTTGAAAAACTCAAGCTTATATATGTTTGAACCAGTCCATCTAGACACATGCTTTGCCATTAATCAATGTGTATCATAACTCACAACACCAATAAAACAAACACACCCAAGAAGTTTATGCAGTCAGTGGGGGCAAAATTTGTACTTAAAATAAATATTAATATATTTTTAAAATAATATTTTGAATATGTATTAAATTAAATTATAGATAAAATTTATTAGCAATTCATAAAACATAAAATTATAAAATATTAATGTCTTTATACAACCAAACTTTTCATAAATATTAGAAAATAATACTGCCTTTAATTTTATTATTTATTAAATACAATTTATCTACTTTCCTTTGTATAATATAGAATTTTTTTAGATAAATTTTTTTATTCAAACAATTAGAGAAATATATTTTTTAAATTATGTTCCCCTAGATTCTAAAACTATTTTATTAAAGTTTATTATAAAATAGATAAGTTCTCAGATGGATTTTAAGGAGAGGAGTGGAAAATTTTAGGGAGACAAATGACTTTTTTAGGATGGGGGCAATTGAAAATTTTCAGGAACGCAGATCTATCCTTGAGTTTATGCATTGTAAAGCTGAGTTTCTAAAAGGCAGCACGTAACATTGATTTGCATAGTGTTGATATAATTATATCACGCAAGCATTTTATAGATATATATGTGATGTGAAGGACATTCAAATGCTAGAATTAGTAGTAATCAGCACCAATAGACTACCATTGTTAATAAAACAGACAAAACTTAAGTCCATCTGCTTATAGAATAACGCATTGAATAATGAATAGATCTATTGAACATACCTTTCCAACGCCAGGTGGTGATGGTTCCCAATTTGGTCGGGGCCGAGGTATCACAACATTAACCAATGTACCTGCAGATGATAAATAAGAAGTGGTTAATTACGTACAGAGAAAAAAAAATTACTAAATATATCCCGTGAAATCAAGTAAGATTGAAGATTATTGGTGGAAGATGGAGGCTTCCGTCTTTATGTGTCAGGCCTGATGTTCATGATGTGTGAATACAATTGTAGCTGTAAAACAAAGAAATAGAAAATAAAAATATTACTATATATGAATATGATAGCCTGCAGAATTAAAGAGAGACAAGCAAACTAAACCAGACATTACCATATTTGGATCCCTCTCTTCTCATATCATCTACGATCTCTTCATAGTCCTCATCATCTTTCAGATCAGCAGCAGATATAGCCTGACTTAGACAAACAACCTTCGTTGCTACTAGCTCTGGCTGAAGCGTGAGTCTCTGTGGAATTTAATAAACACCAATCAGTTTAGAATATGAAAAAGTACAAGCAAGTACAATATTTGATAATAGATATACTTATAGCAGTGAATTCAATAACATCAAATACGTACCTGAAGTCCATGAGTTAATCTGCTTTCTTGCTCAGGTTTTGGCGCTCTTCTAAGTATAAGAGTCTTATCTCCAAATTTTATTCCATTCAAAGCAGCACAAGCAATATCCGTTACCACAGGATCTTGATAAGCACAGAATGCATAACCCTTTGAAATTCCTGTATCTCTATCTTTCACCAATTCAAAGCCCCGAAGTTGACCAAAAGTCTCTACAAGTGCCCTGATCTCTGATTCTCTCAAGCAATCAGGAAGACCACCCACAAATAAACAATCAGGACCATCAAGTCCATCAGCAGCAGATATAGCCAGGCTTGAACTGGCAATCTTCGACTTCGTTGCTGCTAATTCTTGCTGAAACATAACTCTCTAAGGAATTCAATCAACATCAATCAGTTAGGATATGATAAAAAAAAAAAACACAAACCAATAATATATTTGATAAGAGAATATCATCGAATACCTTTAGTGCAGGTTTTGGCTGGTTTTCACCTTGATTAGGTCGTCTAACAGTAAGAGTCTTATCTCCAGATTTTATTCCATTCAGAGCAGCACAAACAATATCTGTAACTGCAGGATCTTGATATACACAGCATGCATAACTTTCTGAATTTCGAGTATCTCTAGCTTTCACCAATTCAAAGCCCCGAATTGGACCAAAAGTCTCAAGAAATTCCCTCATCTGTGTTTCTGTAATGTAGTCAGGAAGACCACTCACAATTATAGCATCAGCACCATCAAGATTCTTCTTGTTCAGAGCCATTTGCATCTAATAATGATATCTTCGTCAAACCGATCTTCTCTCAATTGTTCACGTGCTTCTTGCCTTTCATCGCTTTCTTGACCTCTATTTATAGAGGCTAGAGGGTTTTTTTGACTTTTGAGATAAGGTATTTCGAAAATCTAACAATGAGATTAGTTGAATCTTGATCTTGATTTTTTTAACCAGAAATCTTGATCTTAATAAAGATATTATTTATTTAATATCTTGAGATAATATTAATTGGGATATTGTTTATTTCTTTAGTTCATCGGCGGTGGAGATATTTTAAGATAATTCAATGATATAGTGATTTTTATCATTTTCCTAACTCCTTCAATTTCTTTTGAATTTTCCAGAGGATAATTTATTATAGATATATAGGTTTTGTTTTATCCACTTAAAAATTCAAGCATGCAGATTAATCTTTAGAGAAGTTTTGACACTCTAAATTTTTTCATCGCTTACTTTTTTTATTTGTTATTGTTATTGTTATTATTTTTATCTTTATTTCTATTCAATAAACAAAAAATATGGTTTTCACAATTTTCATTGTATTGCAATAGGATTCTTGATTATAGCAGTGAACTGTGATCCTGAATTGTGGTGCAACTGATCATGAATAATTATATTTTAAAAATAAATAAATTTGTATAATAATAAAAATGATTGTTTAATTTTTAAACAAAATATATAATAAAAAATAATATTAACCAGAGAGGGGGGCCAACCTTGCCCTCTTCACCAAGAAGTCAGCGCGAGAGAAGAGTGTGTGTTATGAAGGACCAAGATGAATTATTTTTTTCTAAGGTTTTTAGTTTTTTAACATTATATGTAATTATACATAATTTATTATTTAATTTAGTTTTATTCTATAAATTATTTGTTACAAAAATATTTTAAAAATTTAATTAATTATTAAAAATTGGTCCTTTTAACTTGGGAGGTAGGTTTTGCTTCTGAGCATGAGTCATAGAGACTCTTGTCACTTAAATAAGTTATTAGAGATTTGAATTTCAATATTTATGTATGTTCTAATTTAGTTGGGAGTTGGTCTGCCCATATTACTTTCACTATCTCCCTTTGATAGTTCTACTAAATTAATATTTGTAGATACGAAAACATTTGAAAACACATGGAGAGCAAAATATTGTTTCCAATATAATTAAAAAGAAATATAAAATATAAAAACACTTCGAAAAACCAGTACATATTCCTCCTCATATCCAAACAAGAATACACACTGATTTATTTCCCAATATTTTGAGAACCTTTACACTTGGCCCATTTTCCATTTCAAGTATCTTTCCACAATGTCAAATCCACAAAGTTCCTTTACCACAGGCATGGCTGCTGGCACATCCAATTGGAATGGTTTATCAATTTCTTCTGAGTTTCTCCATGAATGATGCTGTTTTCTGGCTTCCTTGATAGCTGCTCTAATAGCACAATGAACCGTAGTTGCTAGAAGTAGCGGCGGCTCACCGGAAGCTGCAAAAACAAGATTTGAAGTGTCTTTTAATATAAGAATTCTCCTTTGCTAGAATTTAGGGTTAAAGAGAAAATGATAAAATTGCAATGATAACTAGGAAAGTAAAGTAAATCCTTGTATATCAACCATTAAGTACCTCTCAGGTTTGGAGTCCAGGTGAAATGATCTAGACATGTCAAGCATACACAGAGGAGGACAACATTGTATTTACTTGAACAAGCCTAGACCCAAACTTGAAGAGAAGCTTGACTCAGGTCTTGTTTTATTAATTAAATTCTTGAAGAGAGTTTGATTACAATGTTCACTATTCAAAACTCACCAAAAAACTAGAGAGAGAGAGAGAACTAAAAGACATTATGTGCATGGCATAACTAACTCTGTTACAATCAATTTTTATGGTCTCACCTTTGGATAGAGAAGCATTTATTTTTCTTAACAGATTATTTTTATTTTCCCGAAATGACAAGGCACGAGCTGCTTATTAAAAAACACTGTTAAGGAAGTCTCACGGCAGTCAGGCCACTTTACAATATGCACTGTCAAATTACTAGACATCTCACACTCTTTAATTTTATTTATAAATTATTTATAATATATTTTATCAGTATTAAAAAAATTTTAAAATTTATTAACTTTATTTAAAAATTTAATAAGTTATCAACCTTATTCTTATTAAATATATATATTTTAATAATATATTTTCTCTTTCTAACATTCAATGAAAGGTAAAAGAGAAAATTTATGATGAAAATTTAATTACATGTCTTAAAAATAGGATAAAAAAATTATTCTCTCTCTACTCTATAAATAAAATCAGAGAGGGTATCTTTTATGGAACTATGGTGTTCATCATTTAATCTTAATGTATACATTTTCTGATAATAATTTGTTCATTTAACAAATTGATGACAAACCACTTGAACTTGAATCCTTTAAGTATAGAATCCATGAAGCTGAATGTTTTTCTTTTGTAATATGGTTTACCTAATTAGGGGTGCTTTTTCTAAAAGCATTTTCTACATTTTACACTGGCTCAAATTTGAGACCTTGTGCTTAAACAACCACAACCCATTTCACTAAGATCAATGCCTATTGGTAGTGTGAAACTAAAGTTGAATATAATGAATTGATATATGCTATCTATTTTTTACTGTCAATTTATGTTTAATTTCACAAACTTCAACTTTAGAGGAACTTTTCTCTACCATTTTAGCATTCATGTGTCCAGGAATCAAATTCTAAAGCAGAACTTCAAGTGTCAAATCCAACACCACGATATATTCGTTCATACATGGTTCAGCATACTTTAGCAAAAATTCTAAGTAAAGAAACAAATTAAAAGGTAAAATAATTTGTATATCCATTTTACCCCATTTTCCACTACGAACCTTGGTGTTAATAACTAATCTACAAAACATAAAACTATCATACCTTTCGAAGAGAGAACACGATGCTTGTGATGTCCACTATTGACAATTTCAACATTAAGCTGTTTTGGTATAGTGTCTAATGAAGGGATTTTGTAATTCCATGTTCCATCTTGTAAGATTAGTCCTTCATGATTTGTTTCATACTCTTCAAGCATGAAAAACCCTAATCCTTGGACAAATGATCCTTCAATCTGCAACAAGCAAAAATGATCAATTATGTCAAATTGAGCAACTTCAAAATCTATTAACCTTCAATTTTTTCTACATGAGAAAAACTCAAAAACTGGCATATATTTAAGTTTATTCCTTTTTATATTAGTCCCTTAATTTCTATATGACATGGCTCCATGCATTTTACACAAAGCCCAAAATGAACCACATCATTTTCGACTCGCTTACATGGTTAACTTTATGTCTGTGTGTGAGAGAGAGAGAGATGACCCAAAAATTTTAAATAAAATAAAAAATTATAAGTTTGTGTTTTAATAGTAATTATATTAATTCTTAGGTTAAATGTGATAATATGGAGTGTTGGTGTAGTGGAAGAATACATGTAACCCAACCATCAAGCCCAAGTTTGAATCTGGATAGGGCCATAGGGAGTTTTACTTTTATGCCTTTTTATGAAATTATTAAATTACCCTTATCCCAATCAAATTTTTTTCCTCTCTTTTATTCTTGTCTTCTTTGAGTTTTCTAGAGCTGAGAGAGAGCTAAGAGTTTTGCACCAAACGTTTGCCCTATCTCTCATTGATCTCTACTATCCTCCTTCTCAACCACTAGTTGTGCACTGCTCGTGTGAGTCGTCATCGCCGTCGCCGGTGTGCCTATTGCTGTTTCTTCCTCCACAGCTATGAGTTCTTCCTCTGTTTCACCATCGTTCCTCCTCCTCTGTCACTACCTCAAGTATGTTCAACTTCTCTTCCTTTCTCTTTTTTGTTTTGTGCGTGTGTAATTGATTGGGTGAGCTAAGATTTCTTTCTTCCTCTTGCTCGTCCTATCATCACTGGTCTGTTCATTTTTCTTCATTCATGGTGACAGTCCCTCCTTTCCATTGTTCATACATGAAGCTACCTCTTTCTCCCTCTGCTCATGCATGTGGGACCTTTAAGATTAGAAACTTGATCTTATCTCCTTTCCTTGGAAAATTTCTATATGTGTGAATGGATGAAAATATGGAGTTGATGCTGAAAAATTATGTCCTTTAGATGCTGCTATTGGTGCTTGAGTTTTTCTTCCTTAGTTTCGATTAGCTTTCTTCTTTTTCTCTTCTTTATGGTTGCTGATTCATGTCTAAAATTTTACACCCTTCATCTTGTTAATTTTCTATGCGAGTTTTAATGGTTGAAGCTATAGAATTTTGGCATGTTTTGCTGCTACCCATGTGTTTTAGAGAATAAGAAATTCAAATGTTGAGCTAAAAATTCATTTTAAAACTTGATACTAATCTACATATGGTTATAATTTCTGGAATAAGTTAACTTGGTTGGAATGATTGATGTTGAATAATTTGGTAGAATGAAGTTGGAAGAGAAGAGGTTAGATATGATAATGGGAGATTAGTGTTTATAAGATGCTTGTTAAAATGCTTGTTAGAACAATTGAATTTGATTTTAAAATTTTATCGATTCTTGCAAAAGGCAAAGTTAGGGAAGTAGAGTTAGTTTAGAAGTTATTAATTTGTAAATTTAACTTGAGAGATGCAAACGACATTTGATTATAAATTAATAATATATGATTATTGAAATTCTTGGAAATTGATACCTTGTTGAGAAAATATTTAAATGCTAGACTTGTTATGAGGGGATGGGAAAGGATACGTATTTATTGCCTTGACAAAATGCTAATGAGAAATATTTTTAGTATAAAACTTTGGTTTAAAGTTTCAAATTTTATTATAGTTGATTATCGGTGGGAATGTTAAAAAGAAATTATTGTACTGGTTGAGGGTTGAATAAAATTTTAATATAATTTATAGGATATTTGAAAGAGGAAAAATTTGATTAAAATTGAGAGGAGAAATTTGAACTTTGAATTTTAGGTAAATAAATAGCATTACATTTAATTATTTATTAATAATCTTTTATTGAAATATTTTTTTTTATGAATTATGTTAGTTTTAGAAGT